AGGTGCCTGATAAGGTAAGACTTTGCCACTCACAGAGCAATCACCAACAACACCGAAGCTTTCAGCTACCTCACCTTCTTTCATGCTTTGTTCCTATGACCCTCAGTGCTCCCTCGCTGTACATCTATGCTGAACTAACCCTGCTGCACATGGTGCAAGTTTTTTTTCTCTCCCAGAGCACACTACTGCCACTCCCAAACTGTCAATGCAAAGGAGGACACATCCCATGCTTTTATGGTGCTGTCAGCATGCAGCTTCTGTTGAAGGCCTACTCCTGTATGTTTAATCTCCTCCTCTAGGATAGCAGTTTCATTAAAGCACAACTGAAAGTTTAGAATAAAGCATTCTGACTATTCCAGAGAATTTTAAACATCAGCACAGCATGCCCCCAAAGCCTACCTTTTGCATGCTGACAGAATCATACTGCTGCATTTAGAATAAATGATTAAATTTAATTCAGTAGCAAGTGTTTTGTTCGGTTGGGGTTTTTTTAATGCTCTACAAAAAAAAAAAAAATCCTCACTCCTCTGTTTTATTTCACTGAACCCTAAACATTCTCCTTAAGGTCTTCTCATCACACAGTGGTAGGTTTTTAGGTTTTTTTAAGAGTATGCATGTCAAACAGCTTGAGAAAAACATGTTTTAAGAAACTGCCAAAATACTTAAAGTATTTATTTCCTTAGAAGTCACACCACTTCAAATGGGCATTCTGAGCGCCAAGTAACCCGCAGCCTCGCTTGAGCACTCACATCGTTTGTCAGGCAGTGCACTGTAGGACGCATCCTTATTATTGTCCTTGCTGCTTTTGTTGTCCAGCTGGCTTCGTGAAGGCTAGCTACAGTCACACACCCGCCCGCAATTTCTAACCACCTCACCCAGACCTCAGCAGCAAAAACTGAGTTTTTGGGGAGAAATACAAGCACTTGTCTTGCGAGGGGAACGAGCCCGGGCCGCAGCTTTGTGATCCAACCCGCACCTGCGGGCTGCGGCAGGGACGGACCCGGCCGGGGACCAAAGCACCGCCACCGCATGCGGGCGCAGCCCGGCTCACCCACGGGCACAGCGTCCGCAGCCCCCCGCACACAGCCCGGCTCACCCATGGGCACAGTCCGGCTCACCCCTCGCATTTCTCCCACGAGCGGGTTTTGTTTGCTCTCAGCTGAAAGCGGTTCCACGGCACAGGGCCTTGCCGGCCTCCCCCCGCACCCCGGGGCGGCCGCGGGCGCTCCCTCCCTACCTGTCTCGTCCTCGTCGATGCGCAGAGCCATGGAGATGCACTCAAAGGCCCGCTTGTGGCACGCCCGCACCGTCTCGGGCGCCCCGCCGGGCTCGGGCGCCTCGCCGGCCCCGGCCCTGCTGCCCTTGGCGGCCATGAGGGCGCCGCGGGAGAGGCGCTCGCAGAGCCAGGCGAAGAGCAGCCCGAGCTGGAAGGCGACGAAGCGGAGCAGGGCGAAGGCGGCGAAGAGCGGGTACGAGAAGTAGTACAGGTTCCGCTTGTGCGGGGACGCCGCCGCCGCCGCCCCCGCCGGCGGCACGGGGGGCGCCGGCCCGGGCGGCGAGGAGGGAGAGGCGCCGGCGGTCGGAGGCGCGGAACTGGAGCCGGCTGAGCCCTTCTTCTTCCCTCGGCCGCCCGGAGAATTCATTCACCGCCGTAGCCATAACCCGCTGCCAGGGACTGACAACAACCGGCCATGGCGATGGCGGCGGCGGCGACGCCCCTTTCGGCCGGCCCAGGGGGAGGGACGGAGGGCGGGATGTGGGCGGCCCCAGCCGGGGCGGGGAGAGGTGGCACCGGCCCTTCCACCACGGTAGGCGAGGGTACGGCACCTGCAGCCCGCTCCCACGGCCCCGAGGGGAGGGCTCTCGGGGGCGCTCAGTGCTGGGCCTGGAAAGCGCAGAATAACAGAATCAGTGTGGTCGGAAAAGGCCTGTGAGACCATCGAGTCTAGCCTTTGACCGATGTGAAACTGGACCGTAGCACTAAATACCGCGTCCGAGCGGGTCTTGAACATCATCAGGGACGGTGACTGTACCTCCTCGGGCAGTCCATTGTTAAACAACCCTTTCTGTGAAGAAATTCCTCCTAGTGTCCACCCTGGACCGCCGCTGGCACAGCCTGGGGAATTGTCCCCTTGTCGTTTCGCTGGTCGCCGGGAGAAGAGGCCGCTCCCCAGCTGGCCGCAGCCTCCTTTCGGGGACTTGCAGGGAGCGCAGCCCGACAGCGGCAGCACCAGCTCCAGCCCCAGCCGAGGCCGCTCCGTGCCGGCCCATGAGGCGCACCGAGCGGACGGGCGATGAATAATTTACGAGGATTAGTTATTCTGACCGGGATTGTGAACCGCCCCGCAGGCACAATGCAGCGCGAGTTCCTGGCGCCGCTCCCGCCTGGAGTCACTGCTGGTGGCACACAGGCAGAGCCCGGGGAATTCCCTCGCACGGAGAGGCGTGGAGCAGCCAGTCCCCGACGGTGTCCCTGTCCCCGGGTGTGCGGTGCGGTGCTTTGTCTGCTCCGCAGCTCTGTAATGGGAATGACAGGCTATCTCCTCACATGCAGGGAGCTAATGGAATTCACTATACATTATAGATACATCGCTCTGCCAGAAAAAAAATGAATCTTAATTCTACTCCACTCTCCTTACCAAAAGTGAACATGCAGTTGTCGAAACCCTTGTCAATTATTTGCCCAGCCATAATATTTATTTGTGTTTCACCAAAGAGATAGATCCTCCGGCTCCCTACTCCTTTGGTTATTGCAAACCTTAAAAATGCTTTGGTACCTTTGGTCTAGCAATCTAGGGGGGGAGGCATCCATAGGCCAGCACTTCTGTGCCTGCCGCTATGAACGAATGCCTCCCTCTCTGCTTCAACCTTCCCACCTTTGTGGGTGCGTTGTTCCTTGTCTGATCTTTTTCATCGTTGTTTTGCTTTGTCACACACACTGTTCTACAAATAAAATACTGAGTGATACTAGATTATGATAGATCGTCTCTGTGCTGCACCCCTGAACTGCACACTGTCGCCCTGATTTGTAAATAATTTATTGGTTTTGGATTCTTTTATGGAGAAGGAGAAATTTGATAGACTGTTGGTTTGTCCAGTGTCATTGGTGAGGTGGCACTTTCACCCTCCAATCCACTGTCACTTTTGGAAATCTGTAAATGTTGAAGTCAGAAAATAAACTTCCCTTTTTTCAATTCGAGAACAATAGTGTGAGCATGTCGTGTTGTTTCATGTCCTACAGTGACAGCACACAGGAGCTGAGACAGTCCCCAAACTGCAGACAGGTAATTCAGTGCACAAGCAAGTTTCCCCCAGCTTATAGCAAGAAAGGGCAGTTGTGGTGGGGCATGTTAATTAAAAGGATACACCAAACTAAAATCACTACTGTCTGCAGTATTTTATTCATTCTTCCAAAATTACTTCCAAAATTACTATAAAACTACTGGTTTTTTTTTCTTGTTTGTTTATGTCTCATAAAGTTACTTCCAGCTGCCCCTGGTGATGTGTATTTATTTTCTTAAATGACAGAGTGGAGTGGTTTTCTTTTAATGACAGAACAGTACACAGTATAGAGTTTTCTTACTGTATAAAATACAGAATATTATCACATATAAAATAACATACAAACATTTAGCAACTATTCATGACCTAAACCATTATTAGACAGTGAACCTATTAGTTCTGGAACTAATTTTTTCTGCTGGAAAAAATGCAGCAATGTACACCAAGAATTTTTCTTCTGTGTTTTGTAAGAATGATTATGTACTTCTACTATGAAAATATTATCAAGTGTGAAAAATGCCAACACTTGGTTTTTTAAATTTTAAAAGTTTAATAGCAAAAAAATGGTTATTAAAACAGTAATATAACTAGAGTAAGAATAATTTCGATAATTTGGATTAGGACGAGACAATATGAGACAATAGAAACAATGAGTTACAGATGTCCGGGTACCTCTTTCTGGGCAACATAAGCCCGAAAAAGGGCACACATTAACAGAGGATTAACCCTTACAAGCAATAAGCTGTTGCATATGCATACATCTCATACATGATGCATAAATTCCATTCAAACACAGGATTCGGTCTGGTCAGCGTCAACTTCTTCCTCTTAATCCCGACGGCATCTTCAGAACTGAGCGAGGTGGGAAGAAGTTCATTTCTTCTGCTAATGGAGCAATAAATTCTCTTTCTCTGAAAGATTTAGGTGTCCTGTGGTTGCTATCTCACTGAGAGTCCTTTCTTTAGGAAAAAAAAGTCTCTTACATAGCATAGTTTCTATTTTAATATTATGTTATAACCTAAAACTATATTTAACACGCTACTTAAGAAAATTATACAGCATAACTTTCTAACATTACACAGATAAGATTAATTTTAATATTTGTGAAAAGCCAATCATAAAATACGCATTTTTCACATCAAGTATGTTCCTGCCCACTCAGGAGAATTTTCTTTTGGTATATGTAACTGTCCTTTAAAAAAATCTGTTATTTACTGATATAAAGTTTTACAGGTTTTGTAATACCAAAGAACTTCCAGAAGCTTCAAGCAGTGTTAACACTAAGTTATTTCACTAACAAAAACCCACTTTCAGGCCCAAATTAGCTTCAGCAACGTTATTTTTCGTGAGCACCAGAGTGACCTCCTCAGACACCAAGCCGCATTGATTTACGAGGATATTCCTGTACCCAAAACCCCGGGACGATTTGGAAGCGAGCACATCCCGCGAGTTTTATCCCGACCGAAGACAAAACCCCCCTGCAGACGCGCACACACCGAACCTGTTCCCGGCCCCGCCCCGCCGCCGGGGCCGCGGATGGGACCCGCGCAGGCGCACTGCGCCCGGCGCCGGCGGCGCGACCGCTTCACTGACGTCAAAACACTCCGCGACGGCGGCCGCGGTTGCTGCGGAGCGGCTCCCGGTGTCCCGCCGATCCCGGTGTCCCGCCCGTCCCGGACCCACCGGCGGTGAGAGCCCTGCGGCGGGGCCGCCTCGCCCCCGCGGGGTGCCCGGGGCACGGCCGGGGTCGGCGCCCGCATGTGGCCGCGGTTGCGGCGCGGCCCCAGCCCGGCCCTGCCCGCGGGGGCTCTCGGGGCGCTGTAGTGGGCACGGAAGGGACGGACAGACGGAGGGAAGGAAGGAAGCAGGGAAAGGGATGTATCCGGTGTCCCGGGGCATGAGTGCTGTATTTTCTAATCGTAGTACTGCTCTCTTCAGCGGACGAAACGCGAAACTTAAAGGCACTTCTCGGTTCTGCGTGCGGGAGAAACCAGTTCAAGTTTGGCGCGGGGGGAGCACGGAGCAACTCCCTGTGCTTTCTAGTAATTGCGCCTTGGTATCCATTAGTAACCAAATGATGCAATATCGCTTAGGTCACATGGGCTTCATCTCAGCCTGCTGACCAGTTTTTTTATTGCTTTCCTAGATCTTCTTGGGCGTCCATCAAATTTCACTTTTTGAATCATGGAGGGAGAACAGATTATGGAGGGACAGCCACAGGTATTACAGTAAATGGTTTATGTGCTTTATGTTACATGAGTAAAAGGAGAATTTTAGCTTTGCTAACCATGTGTTATTTTACAGGTTCCGGAAAATCCTCATTCCGAATACGGCCTCACTGAAAATGTAGAGGTAACAAAGATTTTGTTGCAGTGGAAGTCACATTTGTGATTAGGGGAAAAAAGTTGACTCCTGATTCTAACTTCAGAAAATGCAATATTCTCAATGGAGCTAAGCAATACCTGTCCCTGGTGGAAATAGCTGTAAATATATTTTCTGTTGTGCTAATTCCATTGTTCTAAATGGTACTGAATTAGATAATGACCCTTTAAATGAGTTAGGTTTTTTGGAAGGATCTTACGATTATTATCTGTTCTGTTGCTGTCTGTGAGAGATATAGATATATGTTACGGCACAAAAAAAGCCATCCACATTAGGCTCAACCTATGCTGAGTAGACTGGGAGAATCACTTCCTAACCCTATGGCATTTATTTACTCTTATTAAAGAAAAGCCTTCAGTCTCCCTTTATTGTAAGTTCTTACTCTGTGCTCAGCTTTTGCAGAAACAACTTCAAAACATCTTCTGGGACTTATCTCTCTGATAACTGCTTGTCTCTATGCTTCAGCTTCCATGGTTCCTACAGAACCATAACACTTTGGTTCCATGCCAGTAGATTCATGTACATTGCACTGAAACACATGTGGTTTACTGGCAGGGGGAGGGTATCACTCTTCAAATACAGTTAATGGTGTAAGGTGATGCAGCACTTTTTGATCAAGAAGTACCTGGAAGCATTTTGCATATGTTTTCTTTAAAGTGTCAATCTATACTTGAGTAGAGCACAATCACCAAGTACTTGACTTTAGCAGAGTCTCTTTTGTCAGGCTTCACCTGAATTCCTTGTGCTTTTACCATTTTGTGTTAGAAGCACATGTGTACAGCACATGTCTCATCTAACTGAGACTCTCATTGGAAGTCATTCCTGTCTTAGTGGTGTAGAGTTCAAATCAGTGAATTTGAACTGAAATTAAAAAAAAAAAACAAATAAAAATGACTGGGATCGGATGTCTTCTCTTGTAGAAAACTTACAACTTCTCAACATTGTTTCCCCAAAACATAGGAATTTAACAAAAGGTTCCTCTGGATTAGGTTTTTGTGCAAGGAAAAATATGCACTTAATATTCTTAAAAGATGTAAAGAAATTATTGCCATCAAATTGCAGAGATGGGTACTTTGCACACACACTTCAAAGTAGATGTGACTGCTATTACCAGTGTTCATTCATGTTTTGGTTTTTTTTTTACTTCAGAGGATAGTAGAAAATGAGAAACTAAATGCTGAGAAAACATCAAAGCAGAAGGTGGATCTTCAGTCATTACCCACACGTGCCTACTTGGATCAGACAGTTGTACCTATCTTGCTACAGGGACTTGCTGTTCTTGCAAAAGAGAGGTAAGATGCTTCTGTGTTCCTTCTGTTCCTAGGAAAATGCAGGTCTCAAACTTGGGCAGTGCAGCACCTTTCAGGCCTCCCACACCAAATATGGTATTGCTCTTTGTAAGGTCCTCATTATAACAGGTTTATGAACCCATGAATTGCTGTGATTGACCATGCAGGGTGGGTTCCTCACTTAGGCACACATGGCATGACAGGAGTTATTTATTGAATTCATTATCTCCCAATAAGGTACACTACTGTGAAAGTTTTAGAGGGAAAAAGGGGAGAGGTTTTGTTATTAATTTTATCACATAATGCACCTTAGAGAAGCAAGGCAAGAGGATGTTCTAGTTCTGAAGACTTTTGTAGTGTGGAATTATAAACAGTTCTGCTTGACATTTAAGAGAAGGAAAGACAAATCAGGCATGACATGCATCTTTGTCAGAGATGAAGATACTTTCTAAAGGATGTGGCTGAGCCTGCACTGTAAACACAGTCTGCTTCTGTAAGAAGCAGACTGATGGTTTATCCTCTGAATAAAGATTATGCTGTTGAGGTGCCCCAGCTCTCTTTACCAGTCAGTGTAGACAGGTATCCTTCAATAAAAGCAAACATTTGTTCATCTCAACAAAACTAATTTCTAGCATCTTGGTGTATCCTCACTGGTGGCAAATCGTACTTTGTGAGCCATCTGTCAAATTGAAATAATACAATCAAAAGCTGATATAGACGATCATAATTGCATAATGGCACCTACAGTCAGAAGAACCATCAACAGTGTATGAACTTCAAAAGGAATTGAGAATTTCAACTGCAGTGTACAGACAGCTAATTAAACAAAATTAGGCACCTAGGAAGGTCCACCCATGTGCACACCCAAGGGATGTGCAGATCTTCAGCTGACATCTGTGGGAGTTCTGCTGCAGACTCAAATGTAAAACACAGCCCAAGGTTAATTACTCACCCTTACACTCTGAATACCTGTGTGACAGGCAAACTTTTTCCTTCCTTTCCTTTCCCTTCCCTTTCTCTTTCCCTTCCCTTTGCCTTGCCTTGTCTTGCCTTGCCTTTTTTCTTTATGGGGGGCTCTTCACAGAAGGGAAATTGGATCATTGATAGGAGGGGTTGGGGAACATAGAGGTAAAAATCCGAATACTATGAACCTACCAGGGCAAACTGTCTGTTCAGCTGAGCATAATAAACCCTTGGGAGTGTGAAAAGCTGAACTATCAGCTCTGCTGCATAATCTACTGCTTAAAATTGAACAGGAAAATAACTAGTGGGTGCTAAGTTCTTTTTCAAAGGAATATAGAAGTGTTCAGGGAACAGCCCAGTACATCTGATGATCATGCCTGGAATTCAGTAGAAATTACCATCCAAGATAGTAAGCATATGGATAAATGACATATTTGGGAGGAGGTCAACACAATTTTTGTTAGGTCTTTTAAGTGTCTTGGAGTTTATTGAAGGAGTCAGCAAGCATACATAAAGAGGAATGCAGATGATGTGGTCTGTTTAAATTTCCAAAAAGTTTTTCACATAGTTGTTCACTAACAGCTTTTAAAATGAGTTAGTTGCTGTTGGGATTAAAGGAAACACCTTTGTATGGATGAGGAACTGATGGGAAGGTATGAGATAGAGGGTAGAAATAAATGTTGAATTTTCATGGTGAAACGAGTTCAATACTAGAATCATGGAAAAGATCACTTACAACAATTTGAAGAAGTGGCTGACAAAAGTTGTTAATGAGACTGAGTTTTACAGAATAGATTAGGGAGTTTTGTGTTTCTGTTTGTTTTTTAAGTTGATTAATTGTAAATAATTGCACAGAAACTTCATAAAACTGTGAAGACTGTCATGAAAAATTTAAACTGACAGAAAGTGACATTGAATCCAAATAAACATAAAATTGTGGACCTCAGAGGGTAGTAAAAAACACGACTGACAAAATGTTAGATTCTGAGCTGAAAATTACCCTTATGGAAAAATGTTGTTAAACTGTTACGTGTATATGTCAATGCACTGCTTTAATAAAAAATAAATTCTGAATGGTAGGACTTAAAAATTGAAGGGATAAAACCAACTTAAAATTAAAGGGGTAAAAAACAAGTGTAATGTCACTATTTAAATTTGTGATGTTCTTTTATTTTCAATATTATGTCTAATTCCCCTGTATTCTGGTAGAATGTGAAAAAGTGAGAGTGACAAGGTGGTCATAAGTATGGAATGCTATCTCTATATGGAATGACTGGCTAGATGATATCTAGAAAAGGGGCTTTGTGGATGAACATATTTAGGATCCTGTTAAATCACAGCAGCACAGAGATGATGGATTGGGATGGACTGTTAATTATCTCTTCTGATACATTAATCAAATTAAATGAAGCAGGTAGCAAATTCATAACGAACAAAGGGCTGATCCTTCACAGGTCACATAATTAAGCTATGTTTTTGCTTTCAGTTGAGGACATTAACATTTTATTTGTGCTCAAGAGGCAACTGGTCAAAGCTGTAGAGAAATCCACCCCGGACTATTAAGGGTGCTAGCTCAGAAATTGGTACATGCTTGGAAGCCAAAAGGATGGTCTCAAGAAGTATCTCTGCGTATTTTTGTTGTTGTTGTTGTTTTTGTGCTCTTTATAGGCATATTTGCTCACTGGTTTGACCTGCTGTGGAATAAGTATGTCATTTATTCTGTGGACAGAATCCAGATTAGCAGGATTCACATGGTATAGCTGGAGGAGTTCTTTTTAATCTTTTTAAAAAAACCACAGACTAAGGCCAGTGATCAGAAGTGTTTATTATTGACTACTTGCAAGTTACAGCACTTCTCAAACTTGAAGATTTGTTGTGTTAGTTTCAGTTGCCAGAAACTATGAAAACAACTCTTAATACACTAGGCTACACAATAACCACTTGAAAAAGAAAAAAAGCAGAGATTCAGTTTTACTTTAAAGAGCATGAGTTAAAGAAAGAGGCAAATGCATGTCATATCCAGTGATGTACCTACAGTATTTATGCTTACAGACTGTAGTTTTAGGTATGTAACTGCTCTAGCAATTTAGTAACATTGAACCTACAGTGACTAAGACCCTTTTTTAAAGACTTTCTCATTAGACATAAACTGGAAATATACAGAGTCACTCTAGGTAGTTGGTCATCCCTAAATCAATGCTTAGAAGTGTTTAGGAGGAGCTGTGTTGCTTTTAAGGGAAGGTGATTGGTTCTTCAGCTACATAACTTCATATAATAACAAATATTTGCTTTTGATGTACTTTTTTTCTTTACAGACCGCCCAATCCCATTGAGTTTCTAGCAGCATATCTTTTAAAAAACAAGTCACAATTTGAGGACCGAAATTAACTCCACAAAAATGAGGACAGTTTGGCTGCTAGACTGAAATGCTCATTTGCCGCAATTTGTTTTCTGCTGTAAAAATCCTTTAGCCACATTGTTGTCTTTCTTAACTGCACAATTTGCTTTATCTTTTGAGTTTATTTAATAAAGAACACTTTACATTAAATTGTTCTCTTGTTTTAAACTAGCTATTAAGAGACTTTGAAAATAAAATACTGAAACTCCACTACTGGATGAAAGTCTGAATAACTCCATCACAGGGCTGATAATTTATATAATTTAATTGGGTTTTTTATAGCACCCTCCAGTGCAACATGCCTAAACAGAAAGCAAACAAATGCAGAACAATTAAAATTTATTTATTAAGTAGAGAGGAGAGAACTTGCTTCAGAACACCAGGAAATGGGTTTAGTTAAAACAAACAATGAGATCCAGTAGCTGAACAGATCACCTAGAGACAGAATCCAGTGTCTCACATAGGTACATTAATGAGGTGTGCTGTTCAGCATTTGTCATTGATCTCCTAGGACTGGATTCAGTGTACTGGATTCAGCTGAAACAGAATGAATTTGGAAGTAACATATAAGAGTTCTGTAATTCGGGTCTCTGTACTGCTACCCTTAGTTGTAAGTGTCTAAGAACTTGCAGGGACTGAGGTCTTGCTGTTAGTCTTAGTAGGAAGGTTCTCACTATTTTACATACATCTTAGTATCTTAAAACAGAAACATTGAATTAGAGCAGTAAGAGTGGGGAACAAAAATTGAAAGAAGCCTGCAAACCCCAAATCAAGCGTAAAAGCTGTCTTTTGGAAAACGTACCAAAATTTGGAAGGAGATTACTAATTCTACTGCATTGTGGTGAACACAGTCTCCATCAAACAGTGACACTAAAAAGATACTGAAAGGATTTTAACAACAGTGTTTTGACTTTCTGGAATGACTAATAACATTTAAGTGAAGACAAGGAAGCACCATAAGGACTTGGTACTGCTATTTTTATTGCTAAAATGGCATTCCAATATTTCATAAGAAACAACTATGCAAGACTGTAAGAACTGTTTAATGTAAAGGGAATCTATGCTCCCCAGCTTCTCTGTTGAAAATTTGTGTAAGACCAAACAAAAAGAAGCAGTTAAACTTTTAATCCTCCCCAGACAGAGCAATTTTCTTAGATTTTTGTACCTGAATTCAGAATACAATCGGATTACCTGACGGTAATACCTGTTAAGCAGCTGCACAGAACTTGAAACACTCTGGCTTTCTGCACAATTCTTGCATCAACCTGGAATCTCAAAGCATCAGTCCCACTACTAAGAGAAGCTGTCCCTGCCAGCAGTGTGCCATCCACTCAGCTGCTGGTGTCACTGGTATGTGGTGTCATCTGCTATTATTTTCTCATCTAGGCTAGAGATTTAATTCAAGAGATTTAAAAAGCCATGTTCACACAGTGATGATGTTAGAAGATTTACAATGGCAGCTTTTTTGGCAGCCTCCTCTAAGAAATAAATTGTCATGTGACTAGCAGCAGTGAACCTACCACTCTAAAAATTACATCTTAGTGATTCCTGTGAAGGTATGACAAGTCAGTAAGATGAACACTACTGTTTTCCTTTACTTGTTAAATTGACTTACCAAGTTAATACCTGTATTATATAGTTCTCAGTTACAAAAGTAATGATAAAGTCTAAATTTTAAAAGCATTTACTTGTTTTAAACTCTTCACTACAAAACAATGAAAATTCTGTGAAGAGATGTGACAGATGCTTGCTATCCCAATTTAATCTAGAAAGTGGTACTGTTTTTCCACAGGAAACAACAGTTCCGAAAGCTTCAAGACAAATTGTATTAAATTTTGAAATACAAATACATTTAGAGTAAAAGCTTGAAGAAGTATTTAAAAATGGCAACTTTAGATGTATGACAGGCCACTGCTAAGTAATTGAAAGCCATTATATAATTTTTTTAAATTATTTTTTAGTGTTATCTACCCCAGGTAACTGAGTATATGCTCCAAATGGCAGTAAAATTGAGTAGAAAATAAAATGGAATACCTAGTTTACTTGACAACATGCCTTTCAAGATTACTATTTTAGATCTCCAATATCCAGAAGTCACTATTCAGTGACTGTGAAAGAATTATATATGTGTCATATGTAGTATTTTGAAGTGTGACTTTTTAACTGCTTCTACTGAGAACATTGTCATTTACCTGGAGGAGAACAATGACAGAAGAAAGGATTTCCCACTAAAAGCAATTCTGATCAAAGGATTCTACATCCTTCTGTTCTGAAGCTAGTTACCACCTAAAATTACAGTTTGACTTGCCAAATCCTTTTTTTTTTGGTTTTTTTTTTGCTCCTCTGATTTATCAAGGACTTTCTCCAAAATCAGTACGTCTTTGAGCAATCCATTTTATTTTCTGAGGCACTGTCGCCATTGTAAAAGCAGTTTGATCAAAGGAACTTTTCTCTTCCCATCAGACTTTCTAGAAATAAAAGACCTGCTTTCAAACAAATGAAAAATCTGAAAAATTCTGAAAGATACAAGCAGTTGAAACCCGTAGGTTGGAAAGGAAACATGAGAAAAATTCCTATGCCTACCACGCTTCATGGAGTGGAGGTTTTGATATATTCTTATCATTGTACTAATTACATAACAAATTATTCTTAGCCAAGCCTTAGCCTGTGTTCCCTATGCCATTTCATAGTCAGGATTCATTTTAAGAGTGACTACATAGCCTAGATCACAGAAATACAGAATGCCAGCTGTTATAGAAAGAGACATTTTACCATGATGAAAAGTCTATCAGCACTGTTTCTGCCAGTGTTCCCATTCAAATACAGTTTTATGCAAGGATTTCAAATGTAAATGTACCATGAATAATTATGGGGCAGTTTACATCAGTGCTAGTGCAGCACTGACTAGGAAAATGTCATATTCCTATTCCAAATGTGCTTTTAGCTCTCTTCTAGAAGTTTGCTTTGCAATAGTGTGTAACAGACCAGTTTTCCAAGAGGAGCCTAAATTGATGAAAGACTGCTGGGTGGTTGAGAAGTATTTACAAGATGGATAATTACCCACTGATATAATCTCAGATGCTCTTATGTTGCACAGGAAGTGGAGAGATTTCCCTTGTAAGGACTGTGAAGCTGGGGGTGAGGCGGGGGTGTCTGCTTTTAACAGCAGAAGGAAGGACTGGTAGGAACAGCAGGTTCCTCAGATGCAGAACAACAGTTTGTAAATAGAAAAACCTAAAGTAACAGTGAACAGCTTCCTGAGAAGGGAGGGGACAGGAAGCGGGCATTGTGAAAAACACCATAGGAAAGAACCACGTGCAAGAGGACAATGGGAGCAAAAACCAAGAAAGCAACAGACCATGAAAGCTGGGCCAGCTGAAAAGCTCCCATCCCAGCTGGTCACAGGGTGTTACTGGAGGAAAACCCTGCGTGCTAAGGACACTTGCCAGTGCCTTCACCCTTTTCTTCCAGGTAAGGAAGAACCTGCCAACAGACACACATGTGCAGCAGAGGTCTGTGCTTTAAGGGTGTGCAAACCTGGGGCATTGTCCATGCATCGTATCAGAGAAAAATGACTGGAATAACAGCTCAGAACTGTTCAGTGCTCGTGTTACGGTTCCCCATACAAACAGTGCTTGGAATAATTGTAGATGAAGCAGGAGCATCTCCCAACCAAACCCATGCTTCACTGAAAGCTCAGCCTAGTTTCTCAGTTTTTGGCTAGAACGTTTTTATACTTTGTGTCCTGAGCACCAAGAAGCCCAGCACTGCCATCGGTGGGATGGACAGTTCCCTGTGGAAGGGGACCCACAAGGATCAAGTTCAACTCCTGGCCCTGCACAGGACACCCAAGACTCACACCACGTGCCTGACAGTGTTTTCCAAACAGTTCTTGAAGACCTGAGTGCTTTTGTGTGTCTGCCTCTTCCATTTACAGGTGGTGCTGAGGGAGCACATCACTGGCCCTTACACAAAGAGCTGATGATCAGGAGAGGACAGTTACCAACAGGATCCCACAAATCACTAAACAATGCTCAATGGTATTAGGACCACTTATGATAGGGTACAAATGCATATTCTACTGTCACCCTTAACAGTGGAACTGGCAGAATTCCTTTTGTAGTGTTATGGCTGACAAGCTTTGTCAGAAGCAAGCAAAAACTGCAGGACATTCTTCAGCTTCCATGGGGTCTGGACTGACAGTGCCAATTGATAACAGAGAAGGGCAGAGAATCACCTGGCTGTCACAGTGCTTGTGGCACATACCACCATTTAAGGATTAGCAAAACGAAAGCCTGTGCTTTCTGTGACCTGCTAACACTGAGCTGTAGCGTTCCTCTGCATCTACGTGGATGCTGTGTTCATGTTACACCCAGTAAAAACTTCATCCTAATCTCGGAGAGGTAAAACTACACACAAGGAAAGAAAGGGCAATGAGGAAAGCAAGGGAGAAGGAAGCTTAAAAAAGAAGCATAAGGAGAAAAGGAATCCAGCCTGTTATATAGCAACAAGAAGAAATATATTTAAGTAATTTTAAAAGGCAAGCTGAAGAGGAAAAAACACCAATAAAGAAAGGTAGTATACCCAGAAGAAAATACTTGTAAAATGTTTTTACTTACTAACCATCTGGTTTACTACTCAGAAGTTGTTATATTTTAATTTAATTGAAAGGAAATGCTTAGAGAAAATGAAAGCTTTTCCTCTAAGTGATAGAAAATAATAACAGATAATTAAAAATTATGTTTTATAATAAAATGTTCCTCCTAGCAGCCTCTTTTACCTGCTGGTGATGGACTGTGGGACAATGGTGTATCAAATAGCTTGAATATACCCTGATGTGACCCATTTTTAAAGTATATAATCACAACATGTACTTTTCTCCATGCAGTAAAATTTATCTTCTGCTGCATTTGTTAACTTTATTGAAGGATTAGTTTATTGAAGGATCACTCCAGAAACTAGTCTTACTACTGAAGTTTATGTAAATGATTTGAGAGGTACAAATGGGTATCACAACTGACAATATGGTTTTATGTTAAAACAGGCAGGTAGGGTATTCTTTCCAGGCTAGGCAGCAGTTATGATTATTATGCATTAACTTTTTTAAAGCCCACTGTTTGTAAAACAACAATAGAATACTGTAAGGATAT